TAATTAAATTAAGTTTCATAGAGTGTGATTAAAATTTAAAATTTATTTCAAATTGTGGACAAAATAAAAATGCTATTATTTATCGATTCTAAACAAAAATAACTCATTTTAATGTATATTTAATCTCAATAACTAAAAAATATACTGACAATTAGGTAAAATTTTAAAAATAATAGTAGTTGGGTGACCAAAATATGAACTGTGATTGGTGGATTTCATTTTTTTGCAGCGTTCTCACAACCTGGAAAGGATATGTAATATATTCGTTCAGTTGAACGCAACAGCATACATTGTCGTTTTGCAGTCCGTGCGTAATATTCATGTGGGGGTAAAAAAATATATTTTTGTAAAATCGCTTGTCAGATCAGAATAACTTCTAAAATACTCGAGAATGTGAGGCGAAAAAACAGAATTTATACCATTCTATGAAAGTTCGTCTGACTCAATTTGATCAATTATTGTTAGATTAAAGAATTTTTTACTCATTTTGCTTAATTCAGAATTAAGTATTGTACTTGCATATTTTAGATAAATTAAGAGATATTTCATTTTGAAAGGTGAATAGTTAGAAAACGAATTCTCAGATTTCATTTTTTTTTGTTATATTTTGAAAAAGCATTTCTCATGATATGTCGCACGATCCACTTTCCCTATTCAATTTTCAAGGATTGGGGTTGCTGTGTAAAAGGGTAAAATGATATGTCAAAATATGTCCTCCTCGAGACCAAAATTGACCTGTCCGAAGGATTTTACAAAAATCTATTTCTTCTACCCGAAAAGGCATCTGTCCCCTTTTCAATGTGACTCCCTGTATAAGAACGAATAAGGAAAAATGTATTTAAAAAATTATAAAGTTTTTCAGTAAAAGTTTTGGTCCTTTAAATGTATTTGTGAGTGTGAGGTTAGTGGGAAGAGGACGTGCCAAAAGTGAACAAACTTCTCAATTTGACAACGTTTTGACATTTATTTTTCGTCTTTTTCAAGGCTGAAAATACATAATAGGTTTTAATAAAAAATTGTAAAAACTATGAGATTTACATAGGTGTCAATATTAAAAATGGTATATAGGAATATATACAACGTAAATGGTTATTGTTATTTCAATAAAAACAATCATTGTTAGCATGAGAGAATTAACAAATCAATATAAACATAAAAACAAGGAGAAATAAAAACTAAAAACCTTACCTTATTAAATTAATTAATGCAAGGCACATGGCATATGTGGAATTTGCCGAAACAGTTAAAACAGTTTGAACAATACATAAATAAAATCTAATTCTAAAAGTAACACATATCTTAAAATGATAAAATTAATCAAAATATTGTGGCAGTTAAAATTGTAGGTGGACGAAGAAATTCATTTGTATGTTTTTTATTTAATGGTACAGTAGGTATAGTTAGTATTTTAACGGCTAATTGTTTTAGTCCGGTTCAATTTTGACATGTATATATTGAGTAGGTTACGATAGCAAATACTTAAATTGGCAGTATCCGTTCTTAAATTTAGTGTGTCGTTTAGACATACGTGTATCATTTCATTAATGGTTCTTTTGTAATAGTTGGATTCTTTATCAACAATAAGGATGCTGTTGAGTAAGGCCTTAGTTTGTAGTTTTGAAAGTAGAATTTCAAGTTACTTATCTTTGTGGATCATCTTGTATGTAATATTATTTAATTTTAAGAATTATTCATATAAATAAAAATATATTCCAACCAATCTTGTTTAATATTTAAATTACTGCTTCTTTTATTTTATACTCGTAGATATACATTTTCTACTTCTCTCGAGATTACTTTCCTTCAAAATTCGTATCAAGTTTTTCCTACTCCCAATCTAAATATCTTCGCAGTACATCCCTGGTCAGCAATCTCTGAAACTCCCATCATCAATTCCACTCGTTCCGGGGTAATCATTTATCCGCTTTTCTGCCCTTCACGAACCCTTACGCTCGCCGCACCCCCGCGCCCTCTCTTGTTTGCCTTCCGCAAAAATAATCCCCATTACCACCACTATTAGAGTATCCTCTTTACTCTGCGCCGGCAATCGCCAGCTTTATTAGGCTTCTTAATCAGGTACAACGGAACGCGAATGAGGTAACGCAATCACAACCCCACCCGGAAATTATCGTGATGTAATTTTCAACTTGTAACGCTGATTTTATGAGAAGAAAAAGGGATGATTCAACTCAAAATGACAGCTGGCGACGAAAAATTGTAAATGATAGATTGCTTATCTTAATTTTACTTTTATGTAGTGATGGGTAGCCGGGAAATTTCCCCGGGAATTTCCACTGGAACGGGAAAATTTCCGGGAATTTCCCCAAACCCTTATTCCCGGGAAAAAAACGGGAATTTTTCTAGAAATATGGAATGGGACTAATGTATTGGCGTCTGAGAAAAATATTTTTAACTAAGGCACAAAATATTTTTCTTCGCAGGCCACAGCTAACAATCTACTAGCAGAAGCAATATTTGCATCAGGAAGCTCTCTCTCCATGGTAGAGCATCAATTTTGGAAAGATTTTTTACATTTCTTACGCCTCTCTTATGCTCTCGCTCTTCCAACAACATTGTCAACTACATTATTGGATTCTCATTATGAAGAAGTCAAGAGTGATGTAGAAATGGCTATTGCTGAATCTGGCCATTTAACTTTGCAGTTAGATGGATGGTCGAATATAAGATTAGAAGGTATCATTAATTTTGTTGTAACAACAGCAGAGCAAAAAACGTTTTACATCAAAAGTTTAGAGACAAAAGAACGTCGTCATACTTCAGAATATATTGCTACAGAAACTGTGAACGTACTCAATTTCCAGCGATGATTTCCCTCATAAATAAAGTCAAAGATATAATTAAATGTATAAAACACTCCCAAGTGGTAAATAGTATTTTTGATAGAATTTGAAAAGCAAAAAACTGCACCAAGAATTTGGTTTTACCAGTTACTACCCGTTGAGGTTCCCACTTGTTTTGCTTACAATGTCTGTTTGTAAAGAAAATTTGCAAAATTTGGCTGTGAATGAAGAAGCTGGTAATATATTGGGCCGCGATAAAAAACAAACGCTTTTGGATGACGAAATTTTCTGGGTGCGTATAGAAAGTACCAAAGATTTTGTGGAGCCAGTAGTAGTCAACTGGATTTTAAAGTTAAAAAGCAACGAAGATACAATACATCTATGTTTTAAATCATTCAGTGAAATTAAAGAAAGCTTATGGATAAATATTTGGAAAGAAAAGCCTATGCGCTTACGTCTATTCATAAAGCATCTTGTCTATTAGATACAAAGGCGCAAGGTTGCTACTTAAGTGCTGAAGAACAACTTGATGCCATTGACCACATAGTTAGCTTCGCAAGAAGTTCACATTTCTCTGATAATTGATAATGAACACTTGCTTGTTGAAATTGCCAATTCTAGAGCGCACGAAGGTATGTGGGCGAAAGATTTTATTTGGACTACTTCACAGAATGTAAAACCTGTGGAAGGGAATCATTGGACAGAACAATTAGCTATCAAAAGTGGCAGTACAAATTATTTCTGTTCCTGCTACTTCAGATTCGACTGAGCGAACTTTTTACACATTTTCTGCAGTTTGCACAAAGAAAAGGAACAAGCTAACAACTCCGCGTGCAATAAAATTAACGTACATCGCCCATTACTGGCGAACGCGTAACAAAGCAAAGACAGCTGTACCACTTGACAAAAACGAGTGTCCGTCTATTTCCAGTTTGACTCAAGTAACTGAAAGTGTTCAGTATTCTAACATGATAGTGCCGGAAGCAGAGATACCTGGACCTTCAGGCCTTTCAAAATCACCAATAAATTTTGGGCCAGAGACAGAGACAAACTTCTTCGGATGGCGAAGAAATTCCTTTTCAGGACTCTGATTCTGATGAGGAAGACGTGACCGATGAGGTTAATAGCACAGAAACTGACGTTTAGTTTTGTTTTTACATACTTTCATAATACTCAACAGTTTTATATTCTACTAGGCAGATATTTTATTTGTTTTTTTTTAGTTAAAGGATATATTTTTTAAATTTGTTAGATTTAATTTTTTATTTGTAAGAAGATATATTTTTTAATTTGTTGCCAAATAAAATGTGTTGTTTTCAATTAAAAAAAGGATATTTTAATGTCATTTTTATCTTGATTGCGTTTTGCGTAATGAATAGATGGAATGGAAAATAAGCTGAAATTCACAAAAATGTATCGGGAATTCTTGGAAAAATGTACCCATCACTACTCTTATGACGTAGTAATATAGTTAATGATGGCCTTAAATGATTTGAAATGGGACATTACAGCAAGTAGAATACGGTAATTTTTCGACAACTATTCTAAACCCAATTTAAATAAAAATGAAGTATATAAAAATAATAGAATATTTCTTTTTATTGTTTCAAAATCGAGTCTTGCAATTATTTATAAATTTACATTAAATTTTTGATGAAAAAACTAAATACTTTTAAATCGCTTTTCATCTACATTTGTTCCACAATCAACCGTCTGTAACATCAAACAAAAAGAAGAAAAAAACAAATATTTCCACAATAAGAGCACTTTATCACATTTAATGGAAACCCATTCAGAAGCAACAAAATTTCAATTTTTCGCCCGACGTACGAACGAATAACCAAAAGAAAAGAAAAATATATTAGCCGAACATTTATCAACGTCCCTACTTCCATTCTCCTTCTTTCGGGGGTTTCGAGTAAGAGCAAACAAAAATCAGCGATTTTTCTCGGTCTAATACGCCAGATAGTGTCTCAAAATGAAATTTATGGATGTTTTTAAAAGTTTTGTGGTTTTCTACTACGGATATTTTCATGGAAGTTCACAACGAACTTTACCAATTGATTATGTTCGTTTAGTCCATACGTGACGGTTCGGAAAAAAAAAGTTCCTTTATCGATTACGATTCTCGAGTTAAAATTATCGTCAATTTAAATCTACTCATGTCCAAAATTAAATATTAAGATAAACGGTACTTACGTGACCTAATTTTTCTTCTTTTCTTCGTTTGACTGATTCAACTTCTTGTGGAGATCTCGATCTGTATTTGTCTCTATCACCAGGAGATACAGAATTCTGTAACAAAAAATCTAATTTATTTTAAAAGTATAGACCAAATGACAATAGAAGTATCTAGTAAGTGTTGATTGGTACAATATTCCACTTATATTTTTTGAATATAATAATAATAATAATAATAATAATAATAATCTTTATTCAGCATTTTTGATTTTTTTGATTATATCATATTTGTAGGTACATTTAAATAACTTTAAATTATTAGAGTAATTGACAGGTACCTTATACATAAAAAGTATTTGCTGCCCATTTATGACCATGTGGTTGCGCATGGGCTGCCGAATTACTAACTTTTTTTTTGAAATCATTTTTTTTAAACAATTTTTAAAATACATTATTTGACATTGACATTATTAGACAGTGAGTTGTAATCCGGTGCAGTACGCTAAAATGTTTAGTTAAATTTTTCGAGACACGGCACTGGACGCAGGGTTGACATCCATCGGGCCTATATCTTGGCATCCGGCATTTTAAAATAATACCTACATCTCTATAAAGTGTTTTGTAAGAGGAAGAGTAATAATGATACAATAGTTTCAAAATACCTTTTATGAATATAAGTACAATGATTTTTACTGGAGTAATTCAAGAACAATTGAAAAAGAAAGTGACAAATCAAAAAATATTCGGGAACATAAATTATACATTTATACATATAATAAGACAAACTTTTTCCTATATTAATTTTTCTAATCTTAATATAATAAAAACCCTCTAGTTGGCGTACGCCGCTTTACGCCAATAAGTCGTTCTCATAGATATATCCTTACAGGTAAATTTAAATGATATATTTTTTCTTACCAGTCTTTCTTCAGCATTAGTGCTACCAGGCCTCTTGAGATCTTGAGGATCCCTGGCATGGAGATCGGCAGGTTTAAGCAGAGGATGCGCCCCGCCGGCCGAGGAGGGATGGGGGCCTCCAGGAACACCCGGAACACCTGCGCCCAGCCCGGCAGCTCCAAATCCCAGCAGACCAGCTGCTGGACCCATTCCCGGTAAACCCGGATGAGGACCCATTGGGAGTCCAGGACCGTGCGCTCCATGTGGCAGTTGCTGTGCGTGAATTTGTTGCTAAAGCGCAGAAAAAAATTAACTGTAAACTAACAAGTTACTGTTAAACTTGAGGTTCGAAACGGTACAGATTTTACATTAGAAACAAGTTTTTAGTAGCCTTTTTTTAACCCACAGTTTACAAGGTTAAAAATAGTGGATTCCTTTCACGTATGGGCATAGTTTGGTATTTTTAATACATTATAAACGAAAAACCAACAACGGAAACGAAATTTGTAGGACTTTAGAACAGGCATTGATAGGCAGATTGTTGAAAATAGAAAACATTTACTTAGATTTTTTTGTTAACGAAAATTTGGCTTTGTATAATTATATCGCAGGCGTGTTAAATAATGTCTTTTTTAAAAAAGACCAGACATTTCGTGAAACGCTGGCATTTTAAACAAAGGGTGAATTTCTACAAAAAAATATAATCACTTTCAGTCACTTTGCAAAATTTCTAACCAGAACTAGTCAACTTAAACAATAATGATAGTGTTGTATAATAATATATTTCTGCAAACAGCCTATAAGTTTTTAGTAATTTCGCAAAATGCCTAAGAGGAGCGAATTTTATCAAATATTGATAAGATTTATATTGGAAATGACCAGATGGCATAAAACGACATTATAAGTAGGCATATCAGCTATTTTGACATTTCGCACAAAAACTAGATATTTACTAATATAACTTAATATTAAAAAAAAAAAATTGAAAAAGAAGACTTTTTATTCGAAATTTTAACATATGTGAAATAAATGTAAACACAGGATAAAGTAATTACTATTACAGGTGTTACTGCCGTGGCATTTTGAGTTGCACATCATGCCATTTTTTTACGACACACTTTGGTATGAAACTAATTTTTAGCAGACATGCACAAATATTTATTGAACCCTTGTACTTCAAATTGGGATTCTATTTAAAATTGAATAAAGTTAGGTTAGGTTAACTTTACAGTTATGAACTTAGACTAGGTAATAAAGAGAGGACGCGTAACAAGTATATCGAGCACACGTAGTATTCTATGCCGATTATCTACTGGCCGCCATTATTTTGGTGCTAATCATTTCGGTGACACCAAAGTTTTTGTTCGTGTTTATTTCTGATTTTTAAATTAAACGATATTTAATAATTGGTTTATTACAACGGTTTATTGTGTGGCATATCAGTGTTAAAGTTATAGCGGCAAGAAATAAGCAGATATTACGTTTTACAGGTAAATGATAAACATCAATCGTTTTCACTTTATATATTTTCTTATATTTTTCATTTTATTTGGTGTTATACAACTTGGTATTTACATATTGTACATGTCTCACTCCAGAGTAATAACTTTTACTCACCAAGTTTGTTTATTTTATGCTTTTCATTGATATTTAAGCAATTAATGATATTAAAATGGCCAAACATGTAATTTTTTCCAGTGGCGTGTCGTACAATTCTAAATATTAACTTTTATTAAATCCTAATTTATTTTTGCTTCTTATTTAATTGCAGCAATGTTTATTTGTTGTTTTATTTTAGATTTCCTGTGGATCCAGCAAAAAATCTTTGGATTCTGGCAACGAAAATTGCAAACTGGATGCCTACGCCAAATGATAGTGTTCAAAACAGTTTGAAAGACATTTTTTTTATGGGACAGACTGTAAAAGATGTTTACTAAATGGAGCAGTTCCTACTATATTTCCTGAATTCTCTATGTACATGCAGCCGGTATACTAATAAACATAATATATTTTTTAATTACTTTTCATTATTATGTTATGAACTTTAAAGAATTTAGCAACCCTTTTGTATATAATTCAAAACATTACAGTAATAATTGATTATTTGTAGTACTTAAAAAGAAGAGCATTGCATTTGGAAGCTGAGCCAGGCCCTTCAAATAGAACTTCAAATAAGGAATCTCTCCTAAAACGGCTTAGAAGACAACTTTTACAACAGGTAGAAAAGAATAAAGAAAAAAACAAGACAAATCAAAGTTCTTAAAAAAAAACTTAAAAAATATAAAAAAAGAGTTGTTCGCTAAAACTTCTTGTTATTGTACCAAATTAGTATTATTTAAGGGTCAGTAATAAAATTATCTTCATTTATGTATAATTTTTCTTGCTAGCTTAATTTAATAATATTCAGATAGCACACTACATCTTAAAGACGTCCAGTTCATGTCTTACTCTCGTCCAAACGTCCTGGTACGTAAAACGGACGGTTTTGAGAAGCCCTGCTCAGGACATGTTTAAAACGTCTTTGTTGGGAGGTTTTTATGACGTTTTAAATATATCGATAATGTGGATGTTCAACTCTTTTTGCTATATTTGAATATGGCGCCACGACAGCGTTCTTGGCGCTGCCTGCAGCGCATGTAGATCGTCATTGTCATTGGCTGTTTGGAGTCTCGCGCGCGCGCGTATCGAATCGTGTTCTTCCTCTAGCTGCATTGTATAATATTTTTAGCACCAGTCTGTGGACATTGTCATTACTTTTTCGTGGTTGTGTTTTTATATATTGTCTTTTTATAATATTTATTTGCCATTATTGGAACTGTGGTATACCAGAACTAGTAAACTTTATCATTATCATTAAAAAAAGTTTTAATTTCATAACCTCACTTTAATAATGTCTTATTTTTTATAAAAACACCTTAAAACAATAACTCAACAAAATTATATGCTGCGGAGACATTAGTTACAGACGCTTTGACTAAAATTAATAAAAAAGAAATTTTTAAATCGACCAAACTGGAAAAGTTTCTCATAGCATCAAGTACTTGAAATAATGTTTTAATTATTTTATCCAACACTGTAAAATAATATTTATTCTGTGTCAGTTTTAATAGTTTAATAATGTATAATAAACAGTATTAAATATAGTAGACAAGTATTCATTTATTTTTTTTTAATGAATTTCCATCAAGTAAATAGACGACTTAAACACGTCCAATACGGTTTGTTTTCAAGACGTACAAAACTGGATGTCTTGAAGAGGTACAAAATTAGATGACATAAAGACGCCTTGTTTTGTAAGAAAGTACGTCCTATAGACGCCTTTAAAACATCTTTTGGATATTAGCCTAGATCTTCAAAACGTCACGAACGTCGTGAACAAACGTATTTAAGATGTCTTTAAAACGTGTCTGTGATATCTGGGTAGTGTCATTCTTTATTAAGTAAAAATAAATCTTTTTGTAATACACGTAGGTCATTTTATTATGTAAACGATTTCATTTAGTTTATTTCTGTATATTTTTTTTGTGTCTTATTTATTGTTACTTATTTATTTTAAATTTTACGCTTTGAACTTGCTTTATACCTAAAAAGATCAATGAAGTACTAATAACATAAATACAAGTTCGTTTTTTGTTTTCAACATGTTACGCCTTTGGTCAAATATCGTGTCAGGATGCAACAAGATTTTCAGCGACGTTATGAGTCCTCTCTTTATTACCTAGTCTAAGGTTATGAAAACCTGATTAAATATTTTATGCAATCTTACTAGCCATTTCCAACATATATATATCATCGTTATGCGCCTGGCACATGTTAAGCATTTTTCATATTAACTGAAAATAGATCATTGTTTAATTTGACCAGAACTTTTACGCGCCACTGTTTGTACCAGATTTGTATGCTATTGATTTCATTTTGAAGATTAGCTATTGTTTCTTCTATAGTTGATCCTATGATTAAGACAGCTGTATCATCAGCGAATGTGGCTAATTTTACGTTTCTAGAATGTCAAGTGTATAATAAATATAATACTGGCCCAAGAACACTACCCTGTGGGACGCAAGCATTTATTGAGTTGAGTTCAGAGTAATCGTTTTCCATTTTAATTTTAAATGTTCGCTGCGATAGATATGATTCTAGTAGTTGGACATATGGCATCGGGAAAATTTTCTTTATTTTAAATAGTAGGCCTTGATGCCACACTTTATAAAGGCGTTTGAGATATCAAGAAATACTGCGGAACATTTTTTTTTTCTTCAAGAGCAGCGTTTCTCAAAGTGTGCTCCGCATAACTTCAATTGCAGCAGTGGGGGTTGTTTTCATTGCCCCCGTTATCCCGAGGCAGGCAAGTCTTTGTTACCTTGCTTAGCCTCGTTATTGCTTTCCTTTGCTGTGTCTTTGGTCACCACACCAAAGCTGCGTATGTTATTATGGGTCTCACCACCATGTTATAAAGCCAGTATACCATGTCTGGTTTTAACCCCCATTTTTTTCCGCTCTCCTTGTGGTTCTTTCTAGATGCTGGTTCCAGGTAAGTCTCGAGCAGTTTTCCATAGTAGTGGAACATTTTGAAGTCTAAATGCTGTATTAATTATATTGGTCAGTTTTACTAAACCTTTTCATGGTAGTTTCTTTAGTATCTCTTCTGTGATCAAATAGAACCCGGGAGCTCTTTTTACAATAATACTATTTTTTATTTCTCTTTGTACTTCGTTAGGACAAGTTAATAAAATTTTCTCTTCCTTGTCCTTCCTCTTGGTTGTCCATTTCAATTTCTTCGACTTCTCCTGGGTTCGGGTGGAAGATGCAATCTAAATAGTTGGTAAAAGCATCTACTTTTTGTTTGCAACTTTTTGTCCGCATACCAATTTATGTTCGTATTGAGGGTATGTGTTGAATTGGTTTGTTTATTTATTGTAAAAGCTTTCCATAATGAGTAATCAGTGATTTGGTCATCTGTGAGCTCTCTCTGATATTTGTTTGTTGACTCATTTTTAATTCTTTCTATCTCTCTTTGTAGCTGTGAGGGTAAGTCTATTTAATTTGTTTCTCATTTTTTGCCTCTTCTTTCGAGCCTCCTTTTTGTTTTGTATTCCCTTATTTCTTTGGGGAAATAAATACTTATGGTTGTTCTTTGTATTAATGGTGTATTATTCCATGCCGCTTGTTAGATATTGACTATAAATAATTCCGTTTCTGTATCCAAATCATTCACTATCCTAATTGAAATATTTAATTCAATTTTTTCAGCAAATTCAAGTTGAAATTTTTCCCGGTCTGTATGTTTGTTCGTCAGTGTGGGATTGAGTTCTCTAGTAATAATATTTTCACTCATTGTTGGGGAGTTATCAGATATTAATTCTTCTTCTATTTTTCTTTCCAAAGTGACTGAAAATGATAGGCTTTTTACAAAAAATTCATTCTTTTTATTAAACTGTCAGCGTGTTATAAAATGTTATAAAATGGATTATTTAATATGCCTGCGACATAAACATATAAAAATTTCGCACGCACTAATTCATGTTTGTAGAAGATTCTGTCATTTATTGCATTAAATTGAATTTATATGCGATTTTACATTTGAAGTCAATTAATAAGTAATTACTAAAGGTCAGCTTATCTTTTTTAATACTTTACTGTGGCCAGGGGCGGCGCGTGACCAAAAATTTTGGGGGTTCACAGTAGCAGAATATAGATCTCGGTACATATGTAGGTAAAAAACTGTCAGTGTTTTAGAAAGGTATATTATAAACTTTCTAATAAAACAATGAAAGTTTTTTTTATACATCTGTACTGATATCTATATTCTGTCACTGTAAACCCCCAAAATTTTGGTCACGAGCCGGCACTAACTGTGGCTGTTAACCAATTTTTAAATATTAAGTTGTAAGCTAGATATACATTTTCGGTACGAATTTTAATGTTATTAGATACTGAGTTGGCATGATTGTAAATAATGTACCCAAACTATCCTTTTTATAGGAATGCAATATTTTCGAAGACCCTGTATAACATTAGAGAAAAAATATGTTAATTTTAAAAATACCAGACTTAAAAAGTATATAATCATAATTCAATTCTATGGAAGCACTCTTTAGTACAGAACTTTTCATGCTACAAATTTAACCCAAAAACAATTAATTTATGAATTTTAAATTTTAATTCTACATTACGAACTACTAATCTATTTTCAAATATACGAATGTGACATAGAAAAATTAAACATATCCCTAGATCATAATTTTTTTTATTTTTCATTACCGTATTACTTAGTTTATTATACATAACATTATTACCGAATACTGTAACTACTTATTTTGTAATTTCCTTTTAAGAGATTCATAAATCCAGATAAAAATTAAAATTTAGTTTACAAAACGACCATATACGACCTTACTAATGATCCGGTCACATGCTATTCGATTTGCCTGCCATTATGTATATACAATCTACCCCCTAAAATAGACTACGAACAATATAAAATATTTGCGATAACACGCAAACCCCTTCGTAAAAACTACTCTTGTATGAAAAAATGTGTCACAGGATGACTAACAAAAAAGAAAGTAAAAAAAAAATCATGTACAAAAAGTTTTCTGTTAATGTCTAATGAATGTTTTATTTTTTTTGCAAAATTAGGCAAGACAGTGGCGGTTTTTCAGAGTGGTCTGTAGCCGCGTAAAAATAATGTATATTTATATTAAAGATGTCAGTAATAATGGTGTACAACTGGTCTACACTACCTACTGAACGTAGATTACGCCCTAAATAAGGTCGGCAGTCAACCATGCATCTCTATTAGGCATTCAAAGACCTGTAGACCTTAGCCACAGTGACCCCTTCATCAATTTTCTGGGTGTCGCAACCTCTTAGATATACCAACCCTTTCCTTCCCCTAGGTGTGCCAGATAATTTGTAATTTGAAAAACATATACATATCTTTAAAATATTTAAAGGGTCTTTCTTTTCACCTTTAAAAATAATGTTTTTATATATTCCCTTAAATTTTTTCATAGTCAAGTATTTGTTTGCTGTAGTGGTGTTGTCAGGATAAGTTAAAAGCTCCCTGGCAAGTCTGACATCTTTCCTTGAAGTTCACAAGGAAATGTTCTTTAATTAGGTTCATCACTACCGATGTTATCAGTCCAGGTCCAAAAAGTATTTGGTTGGTTGCCTTCTTGGTTAGTGAATCAGCAAGACCGTTACCCTTCGTTGTGGCGTGACCTCTGATCCATTTTAAGTTCAGCACATTGTTGATGGATACTTCGGCCAAAGTACAAACCCTGAGTAAATTCGTGGTCTGCCGAGGGTGAGTAGTGCTTGTCTGCTATCTGTATAGATGAGCATGTTCCAGTGATATTATTTCTGGTGATTTCTCTTGCTGCTATGAGAATCCGGGTGAGCTCGGTTTGAACTACACTGGCACTACTGCTCACAGTCCATTTTTATGTTTTTATGTAGGTATGAATCATATTTGCCACTTCCGGCTCTTCTATTTGTTCTGTTATAACTTTATATCGCTTATGAAAGGTATATCTCGATGAGATGGAGTCCATGATCACTTGAAACAGCCTCCTGCCAAAAGCGACGTCTCGCCTCACCAGATCCTACGATCCTACATCAGGTTCTATTCCAACCGTGCGGAGGCATGTTATTGTCATCAAAGCAATCTCCTTGATGTAAATATCAAGAGAAGAGACTAAGAAAGACTTCCATAGCCCTGCTTGGTGTGGTTTTCATGGCTCCTGTTCCTTGAGTTTATTCTAGTTTGCGGATAGCTACCAATTTTTGGGTTTTCGGTACCCAGATAACTGCAACGTATGTTAGCATAGGTCTTATAATGGCCGTGTAAGTTAATGCGACGACTCTGAGAGAGATACCTCAGATGCACCCCACGGTTAGACAGCATTGTTCATAAGCAATTTATGCTTTTTTACTCTGTTTTCTAGGTGAATTCCATGTTAACTTGCTGTCAAAGATGAGACCAAGGTACTTTACTTCTGTTGCAAAGTTTTGTCTTTAGGAGCTTCTGAGGTTTTAATTCCATTTTCATCCTTTTCCTTGTGAAAAGGACTATTTCTGTCTTCTATGATTGATAAACAGTGAATGGTTCTGGCACCACTGTTCTTTAATTTTAAGAGCAACTTGCATTCTTTTGCTGAGTATGTTGTCAAAATTCTCTGTTTGCAGAATTACCAGGTCTTCTGCATACGCTATTGTGTAGTGACTGTCATTATTGAGGCGGCTGATAAGAGTGTCTAAGACCATGTTCCACAGTAGAGGTGATGGCACCCCTCCCTGTGGAATTCCCTTCGCAACCATACCTCTTATATTCACATCATCTACACTTACGTTTACTGCTCGCTTTAAGAGCATGTTAGGTATCCATGAAATAACATCTGTAGAACATTGGTTAGCGAGTATATTATCTTAGGAAATGTCTTATCAAAAGCATCTATGAAAACACCAAATTCGAACTTTTTATTGTCCAGAGATTTCTCTATCCGGCCAGCAACTAAGTGAGGACGTGAATCAGTAGATCTGCCTGGGGTGTAAGCATGTTGATTTGGGTGTAGTGATGTTGTAATCACCACATCCCTTATGTACCTTTCACATAGCCTTTCCAATGTCTTCACGGAAAACGATGTCATAATAATTGGCCGGTATGTTTTTGGGACAATGTAATCTATCCTTTTGGAGGTATACCTCAGAGCCAACGAAGATCTGAATATACCTACCAGGTGCGGTGCGAGTTCTTCGAAACTCCACTGAAGTAGAGCTAGATAGATACCGTCAGATCCTGGTGATTTAAATGGAGAGAAGCTATTTTTATCATCGTCTACAATGTGTTTGCCCATCGTAGACAGACGGGTTGTATTCTTCCTCTGCCCAGTCGGCCCATCTGTGATGACCGAGTTAGGAAAGTGTGTTGACAGCAGAAGTTTAATGCTACCTTCGAGGTTTGCTTGTCTGATTGTACAGATTAGTTTCTTAGAAAATAATAATAAAATTGACATTTTTCATTATTCCACAAGTTTATCCTAAATATCAAAGAATCCAATAACATTATTTTCAGCAACTAGAACGTATATTGGTCGGCTAGTGTGTTTTTTAAACCTATGTACTATCATAAAAACTTTTTATTTTGTACGTCTCACCTCACCCTCTATATTGAAAACAGAAATGCGTAATATAAAGATATAAATAATAAAACACCACTCTATTAGATTTCTATTCAATATAATGATGATGAACATTAAACCATTTAGTAAATTATTATGTCTCTAGTAATGCCGTTTGGTACATGACTTTTTATAAAACCAACAATTAATTGAATTTGAATTTTTTTGTAGGTCATCCTGGATAAATACTACTTTTAAAAAAACGTCTAAGGAACTACTTACAAGCAATTGTTGAAGGCCTTGTTGTTGCTGTTGCTGGAAACAACAACACAATTTTTAATAGATAAAAAAACAACCAACACCGTATTTAGGTTACTACTTTTCATCTTTTCGAATCTAGAAATTTTGATAATTTTTTAACAAATTATATTACTATAAATAAATAAAATCAAACAAAATAAAAAACGAAAATAGAAGATATTTAATAATTATAAAAAACGCTTTTCATGCAACTTAAAAACGTAATACAGTGTGTCTCAAAATCAATGCGACTATTGAAAGATAAAGTGCTCTTTTTTTATTGCTCTTTTTATAAAGTTTGACTTATTTGTGTTTTATGATACACTGTAAAATGTTTCGCAAAGTAGTACCCCTTAAATAAATACAAGAATTAAAATAAAGTGTTTGTTACGAATTTATCATTTTTACTAATTCAAGGTGGGCATTTCGCTAAATTTTTAAACGAATATTCTTGGAAAAAAAGTACTTTAGGTAAATTGTCGCATTGTAACTTTATTTTAATTCCGTATAGCAATAAAACTAATATAAAAACAAATTTAAACTGGTAGAAGAAAAAAATAAAACTTTTTATTATTAAGGTAACCTACTAATACGATGACAGATAACCGAACATAAACATTATCGGCCGACCAATAAAAAAAAATTGATTGACTTTTACGGTTTAACCTATAATTAAAAGTCGATTAATATCACCATTTTGGTTCGATATTAAATTATAGAATGTGGGCTGGATAATTACATAGAAGGAACTATACACTTAAAAAATGATTTAGCTTTATTTTCCTCGGAACGATAAAAGAGATTTAAAACTAATTCTAGCGAGAAATGGAACGTACTAAAGTTACTAAAATATTATTGTGAATGATATTGACAATGCTTGATTAATGTAGTTTTTGATGGATTAATGTTCTCGAAGCCAGAAGTCATTTGATTTCAGGGCTATATATATTGTTGGGTACATATAGGGTGTTTCAGGATAAATTACCGTAAAAATGCGGGACATGTAGATCTTAACTAGTAATAAAATGATAAAGTATCTCAGCTTGTATATGAAAAAACTAGGTTTGATTTTAAATAATTAAATTAACTATTAAAAATATTTCTTTTACTAGTTCTCGTATTTGACAGAAATTCGCAATAATATCGGTGTTATCTGTCACGTACTTCGCCTACCGATTTGATCAAAATAAAACTAAATAAAAAAAAATCAACCCTACCATTAAAAACAAAATAAAAATCCCTTACAATCTATATTTTTCTACATTTACTCACCCCTATGATGGAATTGAGTTCAGCCATTGTGACTTGTTTTGCTCGTTCCACAGCCGTAGCGACTTGCTGTTGATGCTCCTGGGCGAGGAAGGGCAGCACTTGGGCGATGATAGCGTTTAAGCGTTTTGCAATTTCAGTCTGTAACAAATCATAATATCCAGATAAATATTTAACATGAAATAAATTTGTCCGAAATAAAAAGGGTATTGAGTATCAAAAAAATTATACGCGAGAAACAAAGCATTAAAGGATATCCTACCGACTGCGCCTATTAGATAGATTCACACGAGAGTAGAATAAATTGCCGGTTCAGGCAGGAGGGCGATGTAGCTCGACGACCGGTCCAGAATGGATAAACAAGAGTAAAGAAGTCAGAGAGGAAAATTGCAAGCTACAAGTTGAGCTCTAATGATAGCTCGATAAATAGAAACACTTTCTTAAAAATATAATAGAGGTATAAAAAAGTGTGTAAAAATAGGTATGCTTTAACTTTTTGAAATATGTATTTTTCAAGCATATAACGAAGTAGAGTAACAAAAAACGATTGGAATTATGAAATTAAGATAATGCGTGTACCTTCCATCGTGACTATTATTTTATTTTATTTATTTTTTATTTTCGATTTAGGAAGACTCAGTTATGTGAATTATGAGAAATGTATTCAAAATATCAAAATATTTGTATATAGGTACTTCTTCGTCTCTTTAAGAAAAATACATTTTTTTTAAAAGTTTAGGGATACTTTTCATTAAAACATAATCATGGAAATATATTTTAGACTGTGCTCATTTTTTCTAGCCAATTTACTAATATAATGACAGATTCCTTTTGTTGGATCCTTTTCTGGTTTGCATCTTCCCAGAATTCCTTCATGTCCTGACAACTTTTCTAAAGTGGTCTTGTGTTCTGTCAGTTATATGAGGCAGTCTTAGCAATATAATATTAGTTTGAACTGTATATTTCTAAGAAGTTGTCCACAAAAAATAATTCTAAAGTTGGCCTTGGAAAAATTCACATATGTCGAGTATATAATTCTTCTTTTTAACAGACTTCAAAAAAGGCGGAGGTTCTCAATTCGTCGCGATATTTTTTTTTATGTATGTTCAGCGATAATTCTTTAACACGGTGTCTGATTTCAATGATTCTTTTTTTGTTAGAAAGGAGGTACTTTAGGGGTGGTCCCATATAAAATTGGTCACAATCTAATAATTGGGTCAATGAGAAAATTCTCAAACTCTTTAGTTTTTATATATGTTTAGCAATAATGCTTTACCACCTTGTCCGATTTATAGGATTCTCAGGGGTTGTTTTGAAGTCGGTTTTTTAAATTTTTAATACTTGTGATATTATTGTCAGTTTGGTTTTAATTTAGAGCTGCGGGTAACTTTCACGGATATAACTCGTATTTGTCTTTGTGGGTCATGACATACGTTAGAAACATTTTCTGTGGATTTGCAGGGCTTAAAGAAGTGTCTAGGTATCTGTGAATTTTTAAGAGAAACAAGTAAGATGATTCAAAAACGATATACATTTTTGCAAAATATTTTCTTACATGAGAAACAGAGAGTGGTCATTAGGCGAATAAGAATCGAATATACCTCCCTAAACACTCTGCCAAAGTAGTCCAAAGATAATCTAAATTTCAGGTGAAACAACAAATTTTGGGATATTCTAAAAGCAGGTTTTTTTTTTAAATAAATGTGCAAAATTTAATTTTAATCTCTTTTAGCTGTTTTGAAAATCGTTTACATTTTTTTCCTTATTGAAATTAATTTATTTTACAAATTTTAAATTAATTTACATTTTACAAATTTTAAATATTTTAATTGATAAGATTTTTTTACTCTTTTAGGCATCCCCTGCTTTCCCCTGAGGGGTTCCGGCAGGCTCCCCTATCAGGTTTGAATTTCAGTATGCCTTCTCTTTTCTGGGGTTCGCATAGCGACACTACAGCCTCACCGGCTTATTGTACCACTATTTGGTCTACGAGCTCTACAAATTTGGTTAACCATCCAGCCGTGACCAAGAAGGTCCAGTCACTGCTGCGCTGTGATCGGCTTAAAATGTTTAAATACAATAATGTTCCTTGTGGTGCCATTTACTTAGTATGATGATAAACCTATATGACATCTTTTTCTCTCTCCCAACCGCCAATAGAGCTATTGTAGAAAAAATAGTAAAAAAAGAAGTGGTAATGGGCCCGTTCACTTTCATTTTTGAATGTGAATTAATTATATATTTATAAAGATATTAAACTCTTTTGTCTGGTGGTACTTTTCCCGTTAAGATATTTTTGCTAGAAGTAAGGGAATTCCCATAAAATTCTTTCAGTGACTCATTGCGTCAAAAAATCCCTAATTCCGTTCACGTCTCGTATCGGTTATGCTTAAAGACGGCGAGGTTGTCGGAAGTATCCCTAATATAGCATTTCTGCATTTATATATGTAATTTAAATAGCAAAATTCCATTATTTTTCTAAAAATTATGAACTTATATTTTCAGATTTAAAGCTGGGAGCTTATTTTTTAATTTTAAATTAAAACAATTATTTATATATTACTCAGGCTGAAAATTAACCAGACCATAATCAAAAAGTAGAAATTTGATTTGCAATATTTATCTGGTAAACGTGGCAACGTTGCATTTATTTCTAGAAGTGTGTATTCGCGATTCAAGCTAAGTGATACGCCCTCTGGAGGAAATTTGTAGAAGGTCCGAATAAGTAGGATATCGTTCAGTGTTGCCAGAAGTAGCAAAATTTCGCTACGTCGTCGGATTTTAGCTCTGGAAGAAGTGGATAAAACCTTTTATTTAAGAATCAAAATTTGTGTATGTTATGATACTCTATATTTATTTAAGGATTTTTTTATAAAACCGATTTATTATATTGATTTTTTTTAAATTTCAGTTCATTTATTAATTTTGTTTTAAAATCAGTTCATCATTTGGCAACATTGGCGTTCATGTTCATTGTTTACATTTTAATTTGTATCAATTACAAATAGAGTTTTTTTTTTACTTTTTAGCTTTAAATTTGTTTTTTTCTTATAGCATGTGATAGTGTTCATATTAAAAATGAAATCTGTGACGAAGTCCCCAGAAAATTGCAATCTATATGGTGTTAATGTCAAAATCAAAACTGAAGATTCATTATTTTCCAAGTACAAGTCGTAAAATTTTGTTTTTTACGATAAATGGATATCTACAAATTCACAATATTGAAATTTTACGAAACTTTGTTTAGAATCAAACTGAAATCTTATTTTTTGACGGTTTTATTACCATTTACATGTATACAAAGTACTACATGATTCACTTCATAATATAAGAATAAGTCTAGTAAGATTTTTAAATAAGTTCATCAATAATAAACGTGTGGTACCTGAAATGTCCTTTAAACCACATAATACAACATGTCCTGGGTTTAGTGAATACATATTTCTAGATGTTCTTGTAGTAACCAATAGGTAAATATTTCCAACAAATTAAATCATACACACGATAAATATTATATTTATGACGAAAGCACGAGACTTAAACTTAAATTAACACTAAATTAAACTCAAAAACACTATTACAATGAGAATATTATCTAAAAACAGTTAAAAAAATCACAAATACAAAATTCGTCCAAAACAAAAACATGTAAATAAACAAACATCCTACTTATAGATGACAAATGACAGGCGCGCGAAAATTAATTTGAATCGCCAATAGACAACACTATTTAGAAGCACTTACAACGTTGTCACGTTTACCAGATACATTTTCTCAAATAAAATTTCGATCTGGTAATATTCAGTTTGAGTAATACTAATTGTTTTTATTAAGATTTAAAGAAGGTAAGGCTTCCAGCTTTATCTGAAAATATAAACACATTATTTTTAAAAAATAATATATTTTTTTCATGTAAATTTCTTTAATAAATGCAGAAGAGGAATGGTGGTGCAATGATACATCCGACAACCGCGCCCTTTTAACTATTGACCGATACAAGACCTGAAGGGAATTAGGGGTTTTCTGACGCAATGAGTCACTGAAAGAATTTTATGGGAATTCCCTTACTTCTAGCAAAAATATCTTAACGGGAAAAGTACCACCAGACAAAAGAGTTTAATATCTTTATAAATATATAAATAATTCACATTCAAAAATGAAAGTGAACGGGCCCATTAGCTAGACAAACTACAAAGATAGATGGACCACAATAGTTAAATGAAGACCTAGAGGAACAAAGAGAACAACAGAAAAACAGTGGGAATTGAAGACGTAGTCCTACGTCCTGAAGTGGAAAAACATAGGTTTACAAAGAAGAAGGATGAGAGTACTGGTTGGTAATCACTAAAAGAAATTTGAGGTCCGTTTAGGAACCTGTACAAAAATCTAATGATTAAATAATCAATATTGCCGAACTGTCAATTTTAAAAACGATAAAGCAAACCGGACAACCTGTATAAGAAACCGTTGTTTGATTTATCGGCGTGCCCTCTCCGCAGCCAGTTTCGTCTCTCTCTAATCGACGGCGGCGTTGGTTTCCGATGACGTGTGCGGCGTGGCAATAAATGCCGATCACACTTCGTTCGCCTTTGTTTTGTTTTCTTGTTTAGTTCAGTTGTTTCTTTTCCAACGCCCACTCGAACCGAATCAATCAATAAGCAGCGAAAGCTCGTTTTTCTTTTGTTCTATTCAAGTTTTTTTCTTATGGTTGGTTTGGGTCGTTCGTTGCTTAGCTTGCCAAGATCGGGATCGGCAAGCGATGAGAAACGATAGTCGTTGGAGAAACGCTTGAACTTGTATAGTCTGGGCGCTTAGCGTTGATTCGCTAAATGGAGATGCGTCGTTGTTTGGGACAGATGCGGATCTGATGTTTTACGAATACAAATTCATTTCAATTGCAATTAAAAATATATATACATGTAAAAAAACTCGATATTTTCAACAAAAAAACTATTTGCAAAATTAAACTCAAACCAGTAAAATTGACTTTCCGTTCAGGAAGCCAAACCAAAAACAAGTATTTTTCAGGTGACATCGCCTTAGAAATTTAATACATAATCATAATACAGGGTGTCCCAATGAAAAGTAGCCCGTTTCCATTTGATAAAATTTAGTTACGGTGAATTTAAAAGAGATTTTTA